AAACATGCATGGTTTCACATATTGCAGATTTTGGTTTTAAATATCACTTCATATGCCAATAAGAATTAAAAAACAAAAACAAAAAACATAACCAGTGCATCTACTGATAGATCCTCTGCTAGCTGCCACAACTGGATACGATCATTTAGACAGAAGTGGGTCAAATCATCTTTGGTATCAAAACCCAAGCTCTGCTCAGTCAGTTTCTGCTGTATACAACTTCATAGAATCATTCAGGTTGGAAAAGCCCTCTAAGATCATCTGGTCCAACCTTTAACCTCATACTGACAAGTCCACCACTAAACCATGCTACTAAGTTCACAGTTCTACATTTCTTGAAGACCTCCAGGGATGGTGACTTCCCTGGGCAGCCTTTTCTAGTGCTGCACAACCCTCCAGTAAAAATAAATAAATAAATAAATAAATAAAGCTTATAATATCCAACCTAAACTTGTTGCATGTGATTTAAACCAAGCCTGCTGAGTTCACCTTGATTCTGCTTCAGAAAATTCTGAACGCACTGATGAATGAGCATCTACACAACAGGGACAATTACTGAATCACTGTTCCCATGGATAGGTATCTTTACACCTTTGACATACAAGCAGTCAATTTGCCTAAACACCTTTCATCACTGCTGGTAGCAGTTGTTGTACCTGCTTTCCTTGCAGCGAGTCTTTCCATCCAGCTCAACCTCTGAGAGGCCAGCTATTTCGTGCTTGCATACAATGTTTGCTAAACAGTTTTGCAAAAATCTCTTGATATTATGCTTTTGTAAATTAATGTTAATTTATACAATTATTGCTACTTAGAAGTCAATTCCTCACTAACAAGATGCCTCCTAGTAACCAAAACAGTTATTCAGCTGACCCAAAGCTCACGGAAGTCCCAACTTTAAGTTACCTACCTCCAGCGGACAGCCAGACAGTTCAGAATTAATTTCCTGCCACAAAGGCTTCAGGGTACAACCCTTCCTTGTGTTCAGAACAGAGAGTCATGACATGAAGGTTGCAATTTATGCTGCCAGAAGAGGAAGTGCATGCAAGGGTCCCATCACTAACAGCTCCTGGCTATGTTACTGCGGCATCAGAAGTCTTTAACCATCTTGAGTGGGATTTCATGGAGGACGACAACCACATTTACCGAGGCTTTTGGATAACCACTACATGCTAACCCGGTCTTGATCTTGCAAGATCTCTGCTTTCTCCTCTTTTGTCAGTAGTATATCAGAAAGCTGGAAACGCAGTATGAATGCATGTTCACGTTTCCCTCCTCCCAAAGAGCATTAGTTGAAAAGGTTAGATTAATACTTGCAATGCCCATATGGTCTCTGTTGTGATCCTGGCTCCCTAGAACAAATAAAGCCCAGACAATTTCTTCCTGCCTAGCCATTGTTTTTTGGTGGAAATTCTACCACATTTGGAAACCACCAGTCAGCTTCAACCAGACTTAGAAGAGGGGTGGAAGATGGACAGTTAAGTTGCCTTTGGTTTGGGAAATCAAGAGAAGGGCAGATGGGAGGAACCTTAATTGACACCCCCAAAAAAGCATGAAGATGCTGCCATCGTCAGCCCTTCCTGGTAGATCCCAAAGACACTGGACAGAGGCTCACAGAGCTCTGGGCTCTGAGACAGTAGCAGAACACCAAGAGGGCTCAGGGATGAACAACAGAAATTTTTACGACAGCTCAGGTTTTTTTGCCCTGCTACCTGAAGGACTCTATCTTTTCTCAATAGCTGTCATGATTAAGGATGCTTTGTGAAGTTTGAGGTTATGGATCATACTGAGCACAACCAAGCACTTCATCTGCCCATCCCCACCATTCATCACGGTTCTTTGGAAGGGAACTCTATTCCCTCCTTTATATGACATGTCAATCCATTTCCCATTATTTCATAGGCTTACTTTGAGCATAATTTATTGAGAGAAGACATATAAAGAGAAACAGATTGTTGTAGGGGAAAAATAATAATAACAAATATATATATTAAAAAAAAAAAAAAAACAAACACGAAAACCAACAACCTACTCACAAAACATCCTACCTACAGTATGCAAATAATTATTTTTTTTGTTTTCTTGTTATTTTATTTTTTCCCCGTCTATTTTAACAAAGTGAGGAATTGTGAATTTTTAAAACGATAGATTTTTCATTAGAATCTTCCTAAAGTTGGTACATTAATGGTTTGTTGCCTGTCATTCAGCATCTGTGCCTTGGGGTTGGACTCCAAGTTTACAGTTAAGTAGCTCCATGTTGCTTTGCACATACATGCCTCTGTGGAAAAAGAGCATTTGTGTATCTGAAGATATATTAATAACAGATAACAGATTAGTAACAGATTAAGTTCCATACTAAAAGGCAAAAGACTGAATAAATATTTGAAAACATGTTGAATCACAAGTAAAATGATTAAAAGGGCATTTTGACAGTATTCTAATATATTCCTCAAAACATTAAAGTATGAATCTTAGCTGTAAAAAAAAATACAAAATCCAAGTCTCTTCATATTGTACATATTTGTCAATGGCAACTTCAGCCTTTTCCAGTGGGCACAGAATCAGTTTAGTTTTGCAGTTGAGAACACAAAGATCTTTAACAGTCTTCTAGCTGTATTTGACTGATATGGATGCAGTCCTTATAATAAACAGCAAATCTGTATAATGTCATAATCAAATAGATTGTTAGCCATTACCTCCAGACAGAAGATGCTGAAGAACTGTTCTAACTTTTTTTTTTCCTTCTTATCACATTATGCTGTGACGCAAGCTTAATATTTTTTTCACTGTTTCAATCTCAGCATGCTATTCAGAAAGTTTTTGCAAGGAACTATCAATCCTCTGCATGTTGCATGCAGCACTGTGCAGGTGTGCTTGCACATGGCACAAAGAGACATTAGAATGAGTAGAAAAGCAGGTTCTTTTTGGAGATCCCGTATCCCTGTGTAAAAGCAATTAAAAAAAAAAAAAAAAAAAAAAAAAAAAAACTCGATAGTGTTATGGAAAAAGAAAAAACAAAAACTGTATTCATACTGCAGCAAATCAATAAATGACATTCCACATGCTTCCCAACAGCTTCATTGCAATTAGCTTGATTTGTATAAATAGTGGTATTTTAGTAACCATCCTGACTACTCCTTCATACATTATTCACTGCAAATGGCTCCATTCTTTCTCTCCTTTAAGTCAGTATCAACACTCAGCAACTATTTTGGATTGAGATTAAATGCAAAGAAAACTTTTTTATTGTAATTTAAGTTTATATATTTGTCCTTTTCACCACACTATTTTACATACCAAAAATGTGTTAGTTAGATGCATTTCCTAAGTTCCCGTGTACAACAGGAAGAACTCAATTTTCAGAGCATAGATGGCCACAGCAAGTGCGAGCTGCAGTCCTGGATCCTAGTAATCCCCAACCTAGGGCTGTGTTTCAAATAGAGTGAAATGTGCCTTCATTTGGATTTATGAAATGACAGAAGCTTCATCTTTCTACTAGATTTAAGATAGCTTTTTTTTTTTTTTTTCCCCTTGACCTGAATTGTTTTAAAACTTTTGTACCTACGTGCTCCAGGGAAACCAAAGATTCCCATCTCCCCTAGCAAAGCTTACAGGGCATTTTTGGATCGATATTTCAATGCATTAGACTGCTCTCCAGCACCAGCCTTTCTTCAACATGCTTCCTTTCAATATTCTTCTTCCCTCTTTTCTTCTTTCCTCCACCATATATATTTTATATTTATATATATATATATTTTTTTTTTTTTATTTTATTTTTTAAGCCAGACTGACACTCAGTCAGTGCTTGTCCCTGCTCTGCCTTGCCTTCAATCTTTATTTTCTGCTCTGATTGCAGACATCTCAGGGTCTGGTAGTTTTGAAGAGAAGTTCTCTCTTCATACTTTTCTGAATGCAAATGTGGGATTATTTGTATCTTTCCGTTTTCTGTCTGCCACCTCTATCTGTACACACTACTATTGCAGCAGTGAGCACTACTTAATCTTAACTCTTTTACTCCTCCTTCCCCACATAAAAATGCAGCCTCTGTATGTCTGGCACAGCCGTAGGATTACCAGCTTTGCAGAAGAGAAGGGTTGGGACGAAGAGAGGGAGAGTATTTGAGCACTCCCAAATACCTACCTTGCATGAGCTGATGTTGAATAGAACTTCTTCCTTTACAAAACCATAGCCTCACCAAATATCAACTATGCAACTCTGGGTAAAGATTGAACCTTGGTTTAGAAAGGGTGATTTCCAACAGAACCAAACATTTTGGAAAGTTTTACACATGAAGAATATGTAAACACAACTGAAGGGAGTATTCTGGGGGAAAAGACAGGTGATCTTGAAATGGAGAACTGCACAACCTTCCCAAGCTCTGCACAGGGCTTCCAGCTCCACGGAAGATCAAGTAATTTCCTCCAAATTAGACCACAGCCCTTACCACTTAAACATACAGTTAAAAAAAAATAAAAAATAAATAACTTCTTTAATAATATGTTCAGGAATATCAGCTTTTTTAAAGCCTTAGATACCAAGCACTGAGTTATGTATCTCTCTCTCAGTCTTTTCTTACCTTATGCCAATGGAGGTAAAATGAAGTCCATAGAGGTATCCCAGACTCACAGTACAATTTCATTAAAGTGTTTTGATTTTAACAGATCTGTTGTTTTGTTTTTGAGGTGTTTTTTTTTAGGGGGTGGGAGATTAAAAGAAAAAAGGGGAGGGGGGGAGACAACTTCACAGAATCACAGGATTTCTAGGTTGGAAGAGACCTCAAGATCATCGAGTCCAACCTCTGACCTAACGCTAACAGTCCCCACTAAACCATATCCCTAAGCTCTACATCTAAACATCTTTTAAAGACTTCCAGGGATGGTGACTCCACCACTTCCCTGGGCAGCCTGTTCCAATGTCTAACAATGTCTAACAATGTTTCTCCAGTAGAAAAAGTAGCTTTCTGTGAAAACAATATGCCATTGGGACAAATTGATATAACTTACGGAATTTAGCTGAGTACTTTTGTCACCTCAAGTTTTCTTCCACCACTTGCTTCAGGACCTCTCCTCTACGAATAACTCCAATAGTTTTGAGCATCAGGATCGCCCACCCACCTGATGCTTGTTAATTCCCTAACAGGCCTCTAGTAGACTGATGTTTTCTTTGCTTGGGTTGGGTATAAGTAAAGAAAGAAGGGAGCCATCTGTTTGTGTATGTTTGATGATAATCTTCTAAATATAAGCCTCTACGGGTCTATCTCTAGGAAGATAAATTAATTTTATTTTAATTAAAAACTTAATTTCCTACAAAATTGATGAAATGGATCCCACATCCTATCATGCCCTTCCAGATACAATTTCCTACTCACCAGTAGCAACCCAATCTTCCAGCCTAGACGCAAGTCCTATTGAAAATTTAATCTCAATGAGTCCGGGAGGAAACTAACTAGGAGGATTTATTTTGCTTAATAAAATTTATTCTTAGCATGAATTTGCTATCCATTATCTACCCATTCAATACACTGTAGAATTCTTGTAACTTCAGGATCAAATTCATAACCATATTTTTAGTCTTTCTTTCTACTTTACTCTAGCTACTGCCTTCATTTAACAGCTCTCTGGTCCATGGAAATAAGGCAGTTCAGACCCTTTTTGGTGTCCCAATCAGAATGTGACAACAACTCCCTTCTTCCCATGACTAACAGGTTGGAGTAGGATTGCGTAGCCTGTAAAAGACACAGGCCTTAGGTCTTGGAATATTTATTACATTGGGAACAGCTGTGGGCCCTGTCTGACTTTCCTTAGCCTTTATACCTGGAAGCAAAGAAATGCTCTCAGTAGGACAGGTAATATAAATCAAATTAACTCTTTTTCTAATCATTTAACTTTTTGAAATTTTGCCTTTATCAAATGATGTGAGCATGATTTTGTATGTATTTTTGCTTCAAATTGAAGGAAACAAGGAGAAAAGCAATTAGAAACTTTAAGCAATGGAAAACAGAAGGACCATTTCTGATCTATTACTAGAAAAGGGTACTGGGTTTTTATCATTACCAGAGAAATGGCTTTTGTTTTTCTTTACTGATTGAAAATTTATTTAAAATAAACCATATTACCAAACCACTGCTGAAAGGTGAATGTTAATAACCTGGCTAAGATACTGTCCATTCAAACCTAAATTAAAACTTTCAAAGTTGCAGTATTTATATTCTCCTCCCCCTGACCCCACAGAGAAGTAAAAGGCCACTCAATATAGACCTGCAGTAAAGTTCTGGATGCCTAATAAGAATTCAGGCTTTGAATATGTGGAGCGCCTCTCAGTTTATAAGACTCCAAGGTGGTCATCTATTGTTTTTGCACTGAAGCGCTCAGAAAACTTCCTGGCTCTGACTTTCAGCAATAGTATCATCTCTTTCTTCCAGGTTCCTCACTGAGTTAATTTTTAATTGTTAAATTACTGTGATAATGTAAGAAAAAGTGATTTTTCACTTTATTACAACTAGCATTCTAGCATCTCTTCCCTCATTACATTGCATTGCGTCTGGACTGTGATATGGAAAAAGATCCCATTAGGAGCAGACCTAATCCAATCATGCAAAGAGCCCACAGGCTTAGCAGAGGTTGGCCCATATCATCCATCTATCAGGAGTCCTGCGTAATTGTTGTCAAGTAGCACTGGGCATTGATAGATCCACCGACTGTGAAAGTAGCTAGGGTATAAAGCAGTTGGTGATCAATAATAACTGCAATTATTTCTCTTTTTTTTTTTTTTTTTTTAATATTTAGATTTTTTTTTTTTGCTTTTGCCATCTGTGACCCAAGAAGACTTTCACAACAGCGCTGCCTTGTAAGGCCCCGGGAGGAGCGCAGCAGCGGTGCTGCAGGGCTTCCACAGCAGAGCAGAGCTTGCGTGGTGCCCCAGCACCCGGTGCTGTGCTGGCATCGAGCCCCCAGGTCTTCCAGCAAGGCTGAGGACAGGAGGCAGATCCCCCCGCCTCCGGATTGGGGCCAGGTTCTGGATGCCTGGCCTGGGGAATGGGCAGAGCGAGCAGGTCGCCTTGCAAAAGAGAAGGGAAAAAGCAAGACAGGGTGAGAGCCCAGCAAGTGCAAAAAGAAATTCCAGTACCGAGTATTTGAAGGCAGGCAGGCATTTTTATGCAACATGAGAACAGTTTGTGCTCTTACATTATCTTTCTGATGAAAAAAACAGATAGCTCCTGTAGGCATAAAGAAATTAAAACACCGATTCAGTAGTATCAGAGCACTGAGGTGAAGGGGGTGTGTGCATACACATCCCGTCCTCTCTCCAGAAGACACTTACACATAAAGTAATTCCCCCCCCAGCACTTCTCGCTGCAATAGTCATGACCCAGTCTGACCCAACTAGCAAGCTTAGAAATGCCTTTAGAGACAGAGAATAGTTGAGTTAGGGACCAGCTGTACAAACTGGAGATACACAAGGCCATAAAATAGCTGTGCTGTAAAAGCACCTGGAGGTCCTGGCAGAAAGCAAGCTAAATGTGAGTCAGCAGAGCACCCTTGGGCAGTGGAGACAAACCACGTCCCAGATTGCAGCAGGACAAGGGATTACTGCACTCTGTTAGCACTTGCTAGGGCATGCCTGGGACACTGCGTCCAGTTTTGGTCCCCCCCATTTCAAGATGGACACTGAAAAATAGGATAGGGTCCAGTGAAGGGTCCACCAGAATGATTAGAGAATTGTAAAGCTTGTCTGAAGAAAGGATGAAGGAACTGGGCTTGTTCGGCCTAAAGAAGAAAAGGCTCAGAATCTACTCACAATCTTGCAACACATAACACAAAAAAAAAAATGTTCTGGTGAAGGAACACCAGGATGTATTTTTACATAACATGAGGTAGCAGCCACAAATTGCTTCAGGGGAAAGTAAATCTGGATATTAGAACAACAAATTCTTCACAGAAAGAGGAACTAAGCATTGGAAGAGGCTGCTCAGAGAAGTGGTGGAACCCCCTTATTGGAAAAAAATCAAGAATCAGCTTGATAGTGTCCCAGATAACCTTGTCTAAGGCTTGAAATCTAACGCTTCCAACAGAATGGCAGACAGATCATCTCCAGGAGTCCTTTCCAACCTAAATTTTCAGTGGTTCTAATTCAAAACTGAAAACAAAAGGAGGGCTAGGCAATATTTTTTTTCTAAATGGAGATACTGCCACAAATTCATTTCCTTCACTTGACTCACTTAGCTACAGTCTTTTTAAAATAATACACATCCCTCCTGAAAAATCCTCTACAAGAAGAGGGCAGCAAAAGCCATGAGTGCAACTGGCCACAGAAATTAAACTAAACTGTTGGGTGGTAAAACTATGGAGCTTGTTGGAGCTACAATTATTTTTATAACAGTTAAGGTCCAGCTCACTGTCAATTGCAAAGAGCTTACACAATCACCAATAGTGCAAATCATTGTTTTAATATGAATGCTGAATTTAAGTTACAGTACAGAAATTGGAGAATTACATATGGCTTCCCTGGGAGTGAAATCAGAGGATGGAGCTGCCCAGCATGCAGCAAGCCTTGGCCTGATTGCTAAGCAGCAATCCACAACCAGATAAAGTGACAACTGGTTGTCTGACACAGAAGGTCTAAGCAATGGCTCATAACAGGCTCTTGATGAATTACCTAATCCAAATCAACACAAGTGAAAGGAAAAAAAGTTAAATATCAAGAGATTTAATAACAAAAATGAGCCTCCAGCACCATCTTAATAAGAGGAGGTGTTAAATTATCTCTAGAAATTTTAGAGGGGGGGGAGGAAGTCTTGCATAGGATCTTGGAAGAAACAAGAAGTTGAGGCACGTGAGGTGGTTACCTGGTCTTATCACAATGATCCAGCTCCGTTCCAGAAAGCGCTAGTAAGACAGCATTAAGACATAAAAATTAGAACAGATTAACATATCCTTAATTCAGTGCTTTTCCAGGAAGATTCGGTTCTTCCATGGCTTTTAAATACCTGAGTTCAGTTGTACAATCTGAAGACCTGCATGTATTATTTAAACGCTGTCTTTGAAAGCTCAGCTTGCTGTTTCCTTACTTGGTAAGGAAAAGAAATTCAACCAGCAGAGTAATGCTCAATTGGAATCAAAACTGGGCAGAGACTGCAGCTCACCAACTGCTCTGAACTTAAAAGCTCATAAAATGTCACTCCTGTTTCTCCTCTAAAATCAAAGGAGCACAACAAGCATTTCTTTCTCTGAAGTCTCTCTGATGGGGAAAAAAAAAAGAAGAGCACAAGATAGCTCTTCACAGGTGTCTAGCAGGGGAGGAACGATGCACCCCACGTGGAATTTGAGATAGCTTGTTGGGTCTCCCATTGAGAAACAACAGGGAAAAGGGACAATAAAAAGCTCACAGTGAGGGGAAAGCAAGACTTGGGAGAAATGATTTTTAAATGAAACACAGGACAAGAGGGAACAGGAGGAAGGTTTGGCAATTAAAAAGAAGGGAAAAAAAAAAAAAAGAAAGAAAAAACAAATTAGGAGAAAACCAATAAATGACAGACAGGAAGGAGAATGCAATTTGTTTGCTCAAGTTTTCACGTTGCCATGCCTCCCTTGCAGAAGCCAGGGAAGGGAAGAAGCGCAAAGCACACTTCTGGGAGCAGCGCGATGGGGGAACGCTGTGGCTGGCTGAGGCAGTCTTTGGGAGGAACTGCACAGCGGCACGCTATTTCCCCCGGTTTGATCTCTGAAAAACAGCACTAAAGTAAATATATGCTCCTGTGGAAGTTCACTGATGTCCCTGGAGCTCATTCATTTTCTAACCTTTTACCAGCTGCTGGCCCGAAATGGTAGGAGTTCACTTTAAGCCAGACTGGATTTCAAAGCAAAGGTCCCAGAGGTGACAAACTGCTCATTAATTCACTGTAATGCTTTAGTGCTGGAGGAACTGTTTTAAACGCACTATCTGAAACTATTTAGAGCCACCAAATAATTATATCATGAGAAGCCACCACACACTTCAAATTTACTGATGTTAAAATCTAGCTATGTAATCTGCTGATAGAACTAATGAAGAAAAAGGAGGAGACTGGCATTTTATTAAGAAATGCTAATCAACCTGTTTTTGAAGTGTCCCTCATTTGCATTATAAACATTATTATGAAAATTCAGCATTATGCTTCTCTGTGCAGCATTGTGCTGCTCTACTGAACATCAAAAATATTCACTTCCTCAGAGCAGGGAAAAGAAGGGAATGAAAAATCATGATCAAAGATAACTTCAATTACTTGTTAATTTCACCTTAATTCCACTCTTGGGATAATAAGCCTTCCTCATAAGTTTCCTTCCCTGTAACAAATTCTGATATATGCTTATAGGCCCCTAAATCTATTCCCACAAGAAGTAAATGAATAAATATGCATCAGTGTAATTTACATAGCCTTCACCACAAGCATGGTAGGACTTCATAAACTCACTACTGTTTACTGTGTGAAAAACTCATTAAACTCCCCTTTGAATACAGGAATGAAACTTATTTTTTAATTTATTAGAAGCATTCTTGTTGGTCTCCTATTCAACAACATCAAGCACAGAGGCACGCTTCTCCAGTAAAAGTAACATAAAAAAGTAGAAAAATCAGAACTATATACTTTTGATTGCAAATTAAAACTTCACGTACTCATTCCCAAATAAAAAACTTCTGCTGTTGTACAGAGTTGGTAAGAATTCTAAGTTAGCTTATCAAGTATTTAACCCCAATTTATTTCTGAGTGTACATTCTCCCCTTCTCACAGAGCTCTGAACTGTTAATTGCAAAGATTCACAGGGAAACGGACCTGAGTCAGTGATTAACTGTCTTAACAGGCAAAAAATTAAGAAATTATTCGGTTTGAAAAAGCAAGCAACTCATGGGCAGATCTCAGTTATTCACTGAGCTCCACCAACTGCATGTCAAATATGTTTGTTGAAAACATTTTGCTTTCGAGGAACTGGTGAGCTCTGAAGGCAAACCTTTATCTTGGAAAATTCTTCATCAAGTCTGCCTAAAAACCACAGCGTATATAATGTGATTTCCAGAATCTTCAGTGAGAACAAATTCAAACCGTAAAAAATACTTTAATGATACCTGAGCATTAACATAATATATCTTCTCTGGATGTGACTCTGAAACTTAAAAAAGATTGATCATATGGAGTGACGAACCAGCTAAAAAACCCAGCAACACACATAGCTGCTTCATAAAACACAAATCTTTTGAAAGGTAAGGTGAGCCCATCTCAACTTCTGAAAAGAAAGATATGCATTAATCTTTCTTTTGTGTGCCTGCTCTTGTTTAGAAAGCAGCACTGGAGGACCAAAGGTTGCTGTGGTCTTTTCAGAAATTGAAGTCACCAAATGTTTCCTATCAAAATGGGGAGGAAAAAGAAGATAAAAAAAAAAGATTTTTTTTTTTAAAAAAAACAACTTTTACAGACATTAGATAAGGAGAACAAACTCTCTCAGGAAACAAGGCGGATGAATTGAAATCATAAAATACAAGTCTTCTGGAGACACAGTAGGATTTAAGCTCACGCCGTGACTCATTTGAAAACAGGCACGTTCTAACTTCCCTGTGTCATGAGCGACAGTTTCTCCTTTATTTGCTGTGCTACAGACTTTCTCGAGTTTCGAGGAAAAGAGGGAAATAGCTGGTAAATACCTTTTGCGTGTGTGTTTGTGTGCACACACGTGTTGCAATACAATAAAACAGAACTGGGAAGTACAAGATGCAGCATCCACCAAGAAAAAGACACACAGAATAAAGGCAAGCAGTACACAGCCTGATAGCGAGGGACCGAGTTCTGTTTTGTAAGAAGTTTCCTCAGATCCCGACTGGGATCGAGGCAATAAACACTCGGCAAAAGACCTCTTGCCCTGAAGACCGGAGGCAAAGCTTGGCTCACACCTACATTGCCTGGGGCTAACAGTCTCCAAAGCTGGCTACTGGATGAGGCCACGCAACTGTTTGTCCTCTGGACTCCAAGCGGTGACCAACTGTCTGAGACACATCTTTTGCATACTTTTATTTCCTGAGTTCAAGTTACACAGCGTGATACAAGGACTATGCTGCAGCCCGAAGACTGGTCATTTCACATTGAGAAACTATAGTTTCTATAGTGAAATGGTCTTAATGGACGGTGTAACGTAAAAGGAGTCCAACTTGCTGTGGGTCTTGCCCATACTACCTTTTTAGATTCCATTTTATCTCTTTGGGAGATAAATGCATAAGATTCCATTTTATCTCTTTGGGAGAGTATATCGTTATGTCTCCAGTAAGCCAAAACATGGATGTTTCTGTATGGTAACAGAACCACATTTTTCTTTGATTATTATCTGGGTTCCATAATTTGTAAAGCATACAGACTCAGCATCACATGTTCAAATAGCATTTCACGTTGCCCCTTCACATGAGCAGAACTGAACTCCAAGCCTATGAAATGCATTTAGTAGATGTAGGTAGTGATTTGAGAGTGACTAGGCTATAGGGTACTTCAGGGTACTTAACCTTTCCCTCTTCTCCTTTGTTTGTCCTCAAATTTTATTTTCCCACCATTTTAACTCCAGCAGCTGAATAGCTGACCTAATGAAGAACCAGAATACATGGCCTTCTGCTGTTACAGATGATTTCTCTGCACACTGAGAGTCTTCACAGTTTCCTCCCTCCCCAAAGACCAGGCCAAGGATCATTTGGCCACAGTGTGTGAGGAAGGGATCTCACTTACAGTCTAATAAAGTGACAGATTCAACAGCAGTCTGCTCCTTTGTCAACAGGGTTATAGATTTTCCTGACACAGTAGGTCTGACAAAGGAAAAAGGTACACAGGAAAAAAGGCAATGTTGTAAGAGAGGGAGAAGCTAGCCAAGATCAGGAGTATGTCCCTAAAATACATCCTTCTCTTTTGTATTTCTGGCTGTAGATACAGCACTACCGCATCCCCAGGGAGCAATACTGTGGTGAATAATACGCTCATTACTATTCTTTCTACACGGACTGCAATTTTAGATGTCCTTCAAATTTACATTTATTTTACTAATCTGGATGGTTGACATGTCAAACATCTTAAGGGATATACAAAACGTTATTTACCCAGTTGAAATTTAGTTTCTGAACCACAGGCATTGGTCTGCCCAATCAAAACGTGACTTGCAACACAGCACGCTTGCACAACAAAGTTCTTCAATATGTTTTCTGGATTTCTATTATTTTTGAGTTGTTTCCTTTGCTGCATAATCCTCCAAAAGGCTTCAAAGACCAGGTAAATCAGCACACAGTTTGTCAAACAGGCTGTATTTGTTTTATTCTGCAATTTCCATTCACAGTATTTAGATATGGGAGGCATTAGGGAGCTGCTTGAGAAGCTACTCAGTTCTATTTTCCTCTTTCTTTTTAAAAACGTACATTTTTAATAATGAAGGCTGTGATTTAGGAAAGGCAAGAATACAGCAGATATATTGAATCTTCCTGATTTCCCTCTTAGGCTACCATATTTTAAGTGACAACACTGGTTCTTCCATTGGACACTGTTTTACTGGGGTGTTTGACAGTCTTCACTACTACGGAGTTTTGTCTTACAAGGTTCAACAGCTGTAGCAGTCCTTAATTAAATCTCCTCTGCTCATAATGTTTTACTGCATAGCCATCTAATAAGTACTA